TATATATATATATATATATATATATATATATATATATATATATATATATATATATATATATATATATATATATATAAATATATATATATATATATATATAAATATAAATATAAGCAGGGGTGCCAACTTTTCACCAAACCTTTGAGTGAGATTTTGAAATAATTTGGACATGCAGCCTTATCAGGGTTAGATGAGGACAGGTGCAGCTATACGTTGGAGGTTTTCAGAGGATTTAAGTGAAACTAAGTTGTAAAATGTTGAATTTTTATAGCACAGTAAATGTTACTGAGTAACAATAAGTTATCTGTAATTATGTGGACATTTTTTCACACAATACACATTGTTTTCTATATTCTGGTGATTTTCAGTAAGTAAAGAAGTATGGGCCTGACTAAAATACTTGCATCTTAACCCTCTGATGCATGAATTATGAAAGCCTTGATCAAGATTTTTTCTCAAGGTTTTTTCTTATTCTTAGGACATGAAAAAAAATTTTTAACTTTTTTTTTCCAAAAATATTGTTGTTTCATGAAGTTACAGATATGTTCACTGGAGTGGACTATGCGCACATGAGAACTCAATATAAAATATTATGAATATTATTATTAAAAAAAAAAATGATCTAGTATTCTGTTGTAAAAAAATGCAGACCATTGATTCATTTTATGCTTTGAAAAATATTTCAACATGTTTTGTTTAATTTTTTACATTATAAAGGCACAATGTTAAGAACCGAATAAGGAAACCAATGACACTCATAGCTTACTGAAGTGACTGAAATTCCTCAGGATCTGCTGCTGCCTTGAATGTCTCCTTGAATTAAAGAGATATTTACTTTGTAGTAGCTGTCCACTACAGTGACCACTATGCACCAGAGGGTTAAATATACTGTACACTAAGAATTTCACAACTGTGTTTATTAATTATTCTATACAGTTCAAGTAAAATAAACAATGGGAAATAATAATAAGTAATCACTGGATCACTGACACTAACGCAGGAACCAGTGAAATTGAATCCTGTGCAAACTACACTGTTTGAATATTTGCTAAATTATTATCTTAGTTGTTTTGTTTTTACAATTGACTAAACAGCTCAACAATTCAGACCTTCTAAGAGGCTGTAGATTCAATAAAAACTCTCCATGACACAAGACAGCACTTTTGTGGATGTTTGATTTTGGTAGATTTGAAGGACATTAAGTTTTTAAACATATTCAATGGACCAAAAACAAGAATAAATGGCCTAAAACTGGGACTAAATCAGGCTAAACTCGAGCAAACAAGGAGTAAAGCCAACAAAAGAAAGCAAAACCATTTGATCTGATCCTACGCTTCAGTCTCCACGCCAATAATTTAAGCTAAATGCTGTATATTTTACTCATATTTACTCACCGCTTAAAATCTTCATTAATTTACAAAGTGAGTTATATTAGTCCAGATAAAATATGATCAAATTAAAGTTACATACCTCGTATTAACTTCTCAGAAATCCTGGTATTTTTTCACCTGCACTGCTCTCAGCACAGAGAACAGGTGGGCTGGAGCAAAAATACGGACTGGAAGGAACCTGGCATGTCATGTGTGAGCCCTAAGGTTGTGTTGAAAACGTGGACTGGGTTTTTATCAGCATGGTATTTTTAGATATAAAGGGGAATTGAACTGAGTTTTAATGTCCGTCATATTTTAGCGTGAAAAATTGGGGATACAAGTGTGAGCGTGTGAGGATAATCGTTT